TGTAGTAGTAGTAGTAGTAGTAGTAGTAGTAGTAGTAGTAGTAGTAGTAGTAGTAGTAGTAGTAGAAGTAGTAATACTGTACTGTAGTACTAGAACATAGTTATATTAGTATTTTAGTGCTATTATACTATCATTACTATGAATATTTTTTATTTTTTTAAAAATATTTTTATGAATGTCTCACTGGAGTAAAGACGGCGAATGTGATCACTGTGGTGCCTGAAAATGTGGGGATTATAATTTTGCTCGCGAATCGAACTCCTTTACGCAGACAAGAGTCTAACTGATGCGCAGCAAACTTAGTTCAGTTCTCGGGGGTTTACTTTAGTTTTCGGGGGTGGGGGGTTTCGTTAGAGTTTTACGTTACTTGCAACGCAAATAGATCACACATATACCGAGGATTAGAGGTGCTAATAGAGCGGGTAGTATACAAAGAAAAGAAGGAGAGAAAAAGATGCTCGAAATTTGAAAGGAAAGAAGGAGCATAGCAAACCCACACCAGAGTACCCACCAACCCCGACACTGCTAACGCCGGTAACGTTAGGTTGACTTTAATTGTTGAGGTGAAAATAATTATGTTTAAAAAAGTTGTGCCGGTTTTTGGACGCACACCAGTCTGTCTCTTATTTAGAAGAGGGTCAAGGTTCTTTTGTGTTTTGTGGTAGTTTGTGTTTGAAGAGTGATCGGTCTGTCTCGTGAAAGTATTTTTCGTCTCGTACCAGTATGTTCTGACTAAAGACAGATGTGTACAAGAGCTCAGCTGAGGAGATCTAAGGAGAAATTAATGTGTTGAAATGCTGTGGTCTGAGTACACTTCTGCTTTGTTGTTTAACCCGTTCCCAGCCCAAAGGGATCTGCGATCCAACCAAAGGACATAATATATAGCTTCGGGTAGGGAGCAAAGGGGTTAATGGTTTATTTGAGGATCCAGAGATAGATCTAGACTACATCACACAGGTGTCTGTGGTATTACCAAAAATCGTGTATACACGGTCTTTGGTGTTACGGTT